ATATTTTCTAATTGAATTAATGAGTGAACAGATTCATTGAATTAATAAATGTGAATGAATGATTGAATACAATATTTAAAGGGCTTAAATATTTATTGGACACATATCAGATTTCTTGACATTTTGCTAGGTCCTAGCAATCAAACTATGAACAAACTATATGTCATCCATGCAGAACTAATGGGGAACACTGTTAAGGAAACAGGCAAGTAAGCAGAGTACAGCATGATGAGGATGCACAGGGTAGTCAAGAGTACATATGAGGGTAATTTAAGTGTAGGAGGCAGACATTTCATCCTGAGGCAGGTCACATCTATAGAAGTAACATATGAAAAATTCCTGTCACAGGACCTGGAACTTAGTATGTTCTTAAATAGTTCTTCATACTTTCTACACCCTCTCCCTATCATCCAAGCTGAAGAGCATTGACAGACACCATCAGCTTTGCTTGATGACTGTTGTAGTGTTAGGGTGATTTAACAACCCAGATGCCCTTGTGTTTAGTTTTTCCCAAATCTTACATTTGTATAGAAACAGAATAAACAACTCTTCAACCTATTCTTTCTTTCGGAGTCTTCAGCCTCCTCAAACTTTTTAACCCCGTCTCCACGCCAGAGAGTGTTTTTTTTGTTTGTTTGTTTGTTTGTTTTTACAAACCTGAGAACAGCTTAGAGTTCCTTGTCAAACCTTAACCTGAATAGAGGAGAAAAATAATTTTAACTATAAATTGAACTTCTCTATTTGTAACTTACCTATTGATCATAACTAAAAGCATGATTAAGCTGTAACTAAAAATCCCAGTAAAGACCTGCAACTGTACTAATGTATTACTGTCATTTGTTCAAAAAGAGATTATCCAGTTGTAAAGTCCAGAAAGGAACTTAGAGATTTAGAGCAATTCACTCTTTTTAGAGACAATACTACTGTATAAGAAACAAATGTTCATGACCTTAAAGCCATGAACAAACAACTGAATTAAAAAGAAACCATATGAAAAGGAATAACTTCTGAATAGCAAAAAAGTACCATTAAAACATTAAAACATTTAGTCATCACGCTGTACAACAGATCTCTTAATTTACTCTGGG